TCTGACAGACATTGGTCAATTGGAGGACCAGAGTTTGAAAGAGAGGTGACTGAAGAGCATCAGTTGGAGGAAAACCAGTGTATCCATATCCTTGCTAAGATACAACATACTGTAGATGTGGACCAGATCATGAAAATGAAACAAATATTTCAACACAGGCAGAAATGAAGTCATTATCATGAGAAGTGCTTCACTGTGCTCACAGTGTTCCCAAGATTCAGAATCAGAATTGGCTTTATTGGCCATGTGTGTCGGACACACAAGGAATTTGACTCTGGTACATTGGCTTTCAATGTGCATGTACAGTACATATCCCCATGCAAGGGGCAAGTAAACAATAAACCAGCATAAGGCTGTATAATATAACAAAATAAGCAGTATTAACAAGCAACAAACAGTGGAAACAATGCAAAATAAGCAGTATAGACAGGCAGTAAACAATGCAGACAGACAAAGGAATGCTCATTGTGAAGTGGGATAAGTAGGAATGCAAATAGAGTACTTGACCTGTACGAATCTGTATAATCTGTATGAGGTATATTTACAGGTGGTGCACTCAGGTTATTGTCCTGTCATACTGTCGTTGGTTAAGTGTTCATCAGAGTGACAGCCTGGGGGAAGAAACTGTCCCTGTGCCTGGTTGTCTTGGTGCACAGTGAACTGTAACGTCATCCAGAGGCGAAGACTTCAAACAGATTGTGTCCAGGGTGTGAGGGGTCTGCAGTGATCCTCTCCGTCCTCCTTTTGACCTGTGAGGTGTGCAGGTCCTCCATGGAGGGCAGGCTCACACCAATGACCTTTTCTGCAGTCCTGACTGTCCGCTGAAGTCTGTACTTGTCCTGTTTGGTTGCTGAGCCAAACTGGACAGTGATGGAGGTGCAGAGAACAGACTCGATGATTCCTCTGTAGAATTGTATCAGCAGCTCCTGGGGCAGGTCAAACTTCCTGAGCTGGCGCAGGAAGTATATCCTCTGCTGTGCCTTGTTGGTGATGGTCCTGATGTTGGACACCCACTTCAGGTCCTGGGAGATAGTGGAGCCCAGAAAGTTGTAGGACTTTACTGCTGATACGGGGGGGTGTTCCTTCCCGAAGTCCACTGTCATCTGCACTGTTTTGAGCATGTTCAGCTCCAGGTTGTTGCGGCTACACCACGGGCCCAGCAGCTCACCCTCCCGTCTGTAGGCTGACTTGTCACCATCTCGGATGAGACCAATGACCGTTGTATCATCGGCAAACTTTAGGAGCTTGAAAGAGGGGTCCTTCAAGATGCAAGCGTTGGTGTAGAGTGAAAACGGCAGAGGGGAGAGCACGCATCTGTTAGATATTTTTAGTTTGATAGATATTGGTTAGATACTTGATGTATTAGAAATGTTTAGAGTAGACAGGCTGTCTAGCTCAGGCTGTTAATGCTTAGTCATTCTTAGGATAACTAGACAGAAAGTTGATTATTGTTAGGAGACAGAATGTTTAATATTATTGTTATGACGTGTTTGACCATAATCGTAGTCATAATATTTTCTTATGCTTAATGTCATGTCAGAATGTTTTCGCTACACACCACATAATCAACAGACATTCCCACATTGATTTTCTTCATGCTTTTGACTACTGCTCTGGCCAGCTGCAAAGCTGGCACCAGGAGGCGTCACGGTTTTGGCGTCCCTGTAGTATGGGGTTAATCCCAAGGTGATATAATGTATAGGTCTGTTATGGTTCAGGGCTTTTCATCTTTCAGCTGCCTGCGTGCATGTTGGAGGTGCAAAGACTCCTGAGCATGTAATGTTAATTTTTACCTGTGTTCATTGAATAAATCAGCACTGTTTTGAAGTTACTTGGACTTCCTCGTCTCTCAAGAGTTAACGGTGAAAAGAACTGGGTATCCAACACATCTGTGGGGGGTATCTGCGCTTATTGTCCGGGTGCTGGATTTGATTTTCCCCAGCCTCACCTGCTGCTCCCTGTCTGTCAGAAAGCTAGTTATCCACTGACAGGTGGGGGCAGAAACAGTGAGCTGGGTCAGTTTGGAGTGGAGGATGTTCGGGATAATGGTGTTGAATGCCTTGAACGCTGAGCTGAAGTCCACAAAGAGGGCCCATGCATAGGTCCCTGGGGAGTCGAGGTGTTGCAGGATGTAATGCAGTGCCATATTCACTGCATCGTCCACTGACCTGTTTGCCTGTTAGACCCCCTGCAGGGGGTCTAGCAGGGGTCCACGATGTCCTTCAGGTGGGCCGACACCAGTCTTTCAAAGCACTTCATAACTACAGATGTCAGGGCGACAAGTCTGTAGTTGTTCAGTTCACAGGTGAAGGTTTTCTTGGGGACTGGAATGATGGTGGAGCATTTGAAACAGGAGAGGACTTCACACAGCTCCAGTGACCTGTTGAAGATGAGTGTGAAGATGGGGGCCAGCTGATCAGTGCACACTTTCAAGTAGGAGGGGGGCAGTTTAGTTCCTCACAGTTTTCTTTAAACCACCCCGTGGCTACTAGATACTAACAGATAACCAGTATATTCAGTGTCTTGAAGGTACAGTACATGAGATTAATCAACCATGACACATGGTTGATTATGTTGAATATGGGTCTAAACTTGACACTTTGAAACATTTGTTAAATGAGAAACATTTTACATTTTTATTTTTGGCATGTTTAGAGGAGCCCCTAACTCTGCGAATTAAAATAAATGTACTGATGTGTAAAACAAGTGTATATTTTGGAATTTGTCACTTCTATTAATAAAAAAGAAGACATTTGGACATATCCCAGTACATACATACACAGGTGCAAATAATAAAATGAATGTCTGAATTCAATTCATCTGTTTGAGCAGATCTTTTTCACAGAATAGAAGGTGAGAAAAAGAAAAGTAACAGGCTTTTCACAGCAGACATTTTGACATGCCATAGTCAAAAAAGCAGAGACAGAGCCATTGTTACACCTGTGGTTTTCTTATTATGACATGTCAAAATGTCTGCTGTGAAAAGCCTGTTTTTTTTTCTTACTATCCTTTGGAATTAATATGATTTGAGCTTTTGCGACCAGTTTTCCCATCATACACTGGGTCATTAAGTCTGAAGTGTAACACTGACATGGAGTCAACCAGTTAGCCATGGTGTAGGATTTATTATTATTTTTCTTATAGGCTTTGGTTACTTTATAAGCTTTAGTTACTTTTCATAACTTTATTTTCCCTTTAGTTACTTTTCATACCTTTTATTTTCCTTGCTTATACAGAACATATTAATGTTTGTTTAGAACTACTGTGTAGAAACTGTATGCTGTAACTTTGGTGGAGACATGATGTCTGTACCTTCAAGTAACCAGATGGCCTATTTTACATTTTAACACAGACTTGCTGGCTTAATTTACATCTGCACACAGACTTGCTTAGCATAGACTCTATAATGTAATCTGTTGCACACAGGCCTGCTGGCCTGATTTACACCTTAACACAAACCAGCTTAGCATGTTACAAGCTTTGCTTTGTAGTACAATATTTTACAGAAGCAAGGGGTTTGCAACTTGAGAAGATAACTTGACCCTTCTTTAGCATTTCCACAAGGGTTGCTTTGTTCTGTAGATACCCTATGTATATAGGGGGTCTACAGTTGCAGACATACAGTTGTTCAGTATTCCTATATTTAGCTACTGCCTGACTCCCCAACACCCCCACACACACCCTCTCTAGTGCATTCTTGCAAGAAGGTCTGAGAAGGAGCTCACGCCAAATGGCCAATAGGATTACGAAGCGTGAAATGCCGTACCTCTCTACAGAGCGGACACAACGGAAGAAAATAAATGTAACCAGAAACCATAACTTGAGGTTCAGATAACGGATTTCCTGCGGGGGCTCTGTCTCTCTGATCCCAGTGCTGCTTTGTCTTAACTGTGCCCACACTTTGATTAAATTTCCTGTTAATTTTATTCAGTCCTCTTCTGTCTTCACTTCTTGCACTTTCAACAAAAGAACTGTGTTATTCTAACAATGGGCTGCACCTGAGCCCTGGTTTTTTGTGTGTGTGTGAAATTGAGACGCAGACAAACAATGGGACTACTTTACCTGAGAAAATAACAAAATTTGATTTGAGCAACAGTGTTTATATGGCTTTGAAAATTCTCCATCAGCCTGAGGGAAAACACTCTACACATGTTTTTGACCTCATGTTGCTACACTTGGATCCACCTTTGAGTCATCTGCATGGAACATGATGTCAACCCATTTCATTTTGCCCTAAATGTTCCATTTGTGTACTGTATTCTGTAGCTGTCGTGTAATACTTAAAACCGATTAAACCGGGTCAAGTTTGTGTACTGTTGGATCTCCAGTATAGGGTCATGACTGTCAAGATGAAATTCTGTTCTTGTGAGTGTGTTAGGTATTTTTAGTCAGATAGATATTGGTTAGGTACTTGTTGTGTTAGAAATGTTTAGAGTAGACAGGATGCATATGGTCAAGGATAACTAGATAGAAAGTTGATGACTGTTAGAAGACAGGATGGTTATTATTATTATTATTATGATGTGTTTAACCGTAATGTTAATCATAATATTTTCTTATGTTTAATGTCATGACATGTCACTAGATGTCATGTCAGAATGTTTTTAGATACACACCACTTAATCAACAGACACACACCCACATTGATTTTCTTCATGTTTTGACTACTGCTATGGTCAGCTGCAAATCTGGCACCAGAGATGTCACGGTTTGACGTTCCTGTGTAGAATGGGGCTAGCCCAACCTAAGTGATAAATGTATAGGCCTGTTGTGGTTCAGGGTCTTTCATCCTTCAGCTGCCTGTGTGCATGTTGGAGGTGCAAGATACCTGAGCGTGTAATGTTAATTTTTACCTGTGTTCATTGAATAAATCAGCACTGTATTGAAGTTACTTGGACTGCCTCGTCTCTCAGAGTTAGCATGGCTAAAAGAATCGGAAGACTTCAAGTGCATGTCAGCAGGCAGGTATTTGTTAAACATACAGTATGGATGAGACTTACCTTCATGAATATAGACACTATGACTAGTCCATTGGGGCTTTTAGCAGCTTCTGTATAATTTGTGTACAGCTCATGGTTGTAGTGGATCAGCTGAACCTGGAACATACAGAAAGGACATAGAGAATTACTGAATGGAAAGTACCCTCTGACATTATGGCAGTGAGACATACAGCGAGACAGAAAGCTGATCTCCACAGTGAGTGAAATAGAAATCTTGGAGGAGAACACCATTTTAGAGAATTTATATCTCCTTTACCTTAAGCTAAGAACCCCTGATTCTCCTAAATCCTTCTTAGTCATGTCAAATCATTTAAAAGTGAAAATCAATATTGGATAAAATCTCACACATGGATTTATAGAGACAGTTTAATGAAAAAAGCTGGGTTTCAGAACATTTTTATACTCAGCATAGTTGTGGATAGATGTAATAACAGGACCATATAGAGGCTGGGATTCATTTCAAAGATCAAAGTGTTTATTTGTCATATGCACAGTTAAGAAATGTATTTCCTTGTACAATGAAATTCTTACTTTGCCGTCCACATGAATGCCACACAATACAAGTGAAATATAAAGTAGATGAGCAGTAACACAAATCTAAGGCACTTTAAAGCAGCAAGTGAAGGAAGCACAATAAAAATACAACAAGAACACAATATAATGCAGAGAGAATATATGCTACGTGGGAGCCATGAAGTGCAAATATTTAGCAGTGAGTGTGCAATTATGCATGTGCAAAATGAGTATGTAAACAGTACAGATGGAATTACATTACAGGAACAACAACATGGCATAGCTTGTAGAAAAATACAGTCTGCTCGGTTGTTGGTTGCACAGTTAAGCACAAAAGTGTTACCTACTTCCATTCTCAGAGCCAGTAAAGACTCAGTGGGTATTGTATATTTATTTTGGAAATGTTCCTGAAGATACATTATCTCTAAAACATTGCATGTTATGTGCAAATCATTCCACATAGGAGTGCTTTTTCAACAAGGGTCAGTACAACACTGGATTGGCTTTCATACTGAAGCTCAAGAGTGGATCTATTCCAACTGTCTATGAATCTACCTCACAGCCTTATGCTGTAAGTGCTGTTATTTTAAAGTTATTTTACTGCTTGTGTATAATGTTAGCCTTTTTAACTTAGTGACATTAGTCGCAATGTAATGTTGCACAGCTAATGTGGCTAACAATAGCTTGTATTATAGGCTGAATGGCAGGAACAGGTTAACTGGTAAAACACACTGAAAACATTTTCTACGCACCTCACGCCCAGTGCTTGGGTTAGTAATTTTGATGAACAGTCAGAATGTACCAGAGAATTTGTTGAGACTTTTTTTAACCAAATTCCCTGTGAGCAGTGTGTTGGATGGTGCTGACTATGATTGTTTACCTAGCATTGTTGTAATAGCACTAAACTTTGTGTAAACAGGGGGCCCAGGAGCTAAAATAGTGTGTGTTCACACAGAGGGGAAAAGAGGGTCTGGAACAGGAAACTAATGAACTTTATAAACATACAAAGGAGTAAATATTTTATAGTAGAACCTGCGGGCCGTAACCTCGAGGAAGGCTGCTTCAACCAGTCTCTGGCCCAGTCCACTGTCCCACCCTGCCTGAAATCCTCTATCCTAGTTCCCCTGCCTAAGAAACCCAACATAACCATAACATAACACATAATGTACTGGAGGCTATAAGTAAACAAATTTAATTAAAGAGTAATTATGAAATGCTCGATTGAGGGTGGTGCAGAGTGACAGAACATCCACAAACGCAATCAAGACGAGGGGGGAAGTGATTAGGACTTGATTTGATTTGATTTTTAGTTGAGAGCAGCAGAGGCAGCCAAAAAAACTCAACCACACTCCCTCAGTGACATATTGCGCAAATTTTGCTGCTTGCAATAAAAGATCAGTGTAACAGAATGTCTGCCAAATAGAGAAAAACAGAGAAAGAAAGCAGAGGTTATAATTACAAAGAGAAACAACTAAAGTGGTAGGTCGGTAGGTACTTTATTGATCCCTCAATGGGGAAATTTCAGTGTTTCAGCAGCAGTGGAGAACAAACAACATAACACCATGAGAAACAAACACCACACACATATCTTGATAAACACGTTTCGGTACCTCAAGCAGCAATAGAGAACAGACAGCATAGTACCATGAGAACAAGCACCACACACACATCCTGATAAATTCCAAGTACTCAAAAATAGACAGAATCAAGGATTTGAATAATCAGGAACAGAATTTACATATGTGCATATTACCCATGCATTTTACCCCAGGATTTGAGTGTTGCACCTCAGTTGACTATTACATAGTCCCTCATACTTTCACCTAGCGTATCCCTGCACTGGGATATAGAGCTAAAGTGAGAGCTAAAGAGAAGAGCACTGGATGCTGGCCAGGCCTGTAAGCCTGCAGCATTATATCATAGCATCCCTCTGTTCAAACACAGACTCACAGTGACAGCTCTACACATCTAACAGGTACAAACTAATATTTACACTCTGTTCCTGATGCTATCAAACAGTATATTATAAAGCCGGAGGTACCGACAGATTATGTAACACAGTGTGACAGATATTGCATAGTCATTACAAATTAGAGCTAGGGCTCAATAGCACCTAAACAAATTGGAATCCAGTGTAGAAACTGATTATCAAATCCAAATCCCTTATTAAATTTATTTGTAAATCAATTTTTGAAATAAGTAAAACTCAAAAGATTGAGTTCAGCTTATTCAGCTTTAGGTTTGCTGAGAAACTTAGTCATGTGATACCAAGTAGTCACACATGGAGGATCTTTTGTGTCAAATTCAAATGTCCTCCATGACCTTTCTCACTCCATCCACTGAGTCTTGGTCAATGACTATGACCCTTCCCACCTGATACTGTGACGGGTTTTGGTCTCTGAACACTCCCAATAATCCAAACAATCCAATGTGGAGTGATAGGCTAACCTGAAACTGGATTCAAAATCAAATCTCCTATGACAACCCAGCTCTATATATTGTTACATGCCCCAGATGTAAGACGGATGACAATTAAAATTTTTATTTTATTGAGTGACTACGTTGGAACTTGGATTTATGCTACAGAGAATAAAAACACACCTTGAGGTCCAGCTGGAGCGTGGTCTCCTTGTCTCTTCATCTATCCCTGCTTCTATGGATAACCACCTTTATTTGGCTAAGTATGTTATACACCCAAGGAATTTGTTTCCGGTACAAAACCGAGGCAGCCACTCACACCGATGGTTCCAACCATCGGGGCAACTTGGGGACTCAGTGTCTTGCCCAAGGACACTTTGACATGTGGACTACAGGCACCGAGATTTGAACCTCTGACCCTTTGGTTGGGAGACGACAGCTCTACCCACTGAACCACAGTCTCCCCTTCTTTCTTATTGTAATTAATTATATTAATCTTGCTTCTTTATTCTTCTTCTTCTTTCGGCTGTTCCCGACAGGGGTCGCCACAGCGAGTCATCTGTTTCCACCTAACTCTATCGTCGTCATCCTCTACTCTCACACCAATTAACTTCATGTCCTCCTTTAGCACATCCATATATCTCCTCTTTGGCCTTCCTCTTGACCTCTTGCATGACAGCTCCATCTCCAACATTCTTCTACCAATATAACCACTATCCCTCCTCTGCACATGTCCAAACCATCTCAATCTGGCCTCTCTGACCTTGTCCCCAAAACAGCCGAC